ATTCAAATGCACAGAAACATAAGTCTTTGTGTCATGGCTAGTTTATTTCTTTCACTTTAATATATAAAAAAGTATCTTTCTAATAGCTACCTTAATCTGAGTAATTTCACTCATCTGTCTCGGACAAAGGATTCCAATAATCTCTACTGAAAGACAGGTCATTAAAAATGGAGAAACCACAAGAAAGTGATGCCAAAAACAAGGAAGAAATCAGAAGAGGCTGAGTGAGAACTGAAGCACAGTTCAGGTCCATGAAAGCCAAAATGCTGCACCAGACACCCCGTCTGCCTTGTATGCATTCCCTAGCAGTAAGCGGAACACCAAGGAGCAGGAATTCACTCGAGAGATCATGACAACAAAGGTTCTAACTTGAGAAAGCATTGCCACTCAAGGGTGACTTGAGAGATGAACCTTCACTCCTGTGAGACAGTGTTACTTTTTCTAGCAAGTGGGTCCACGTTAATGTCTGTGGAATGCTCACAAAAGGCAGTGTAAAAACCACTACAGGATAAAGCAATGAGCTGACTGACTTGCCAATGGAAAATATCAACCAACTGACCCCTTCTATTTTTACACCTGTCTTCCCCTTCTTCTCCCACTCACCTCTTTTCAGGAAGGAGGCTCAGTGTTTTTCCGCAGTTTTTGGGATGAAAGACAACAGCGTCAAGTGGGTTTTCCCTTCTGCAAAATAATACAAGTGCAGAATGCCTGAGAGATCATTTAAGGGAAGGCTGGTAAGGTCAACTGTTCTGCTATCATTTCCTGAAAGAACTACCTCTGGCTCCAAAATACTTCATCATCACTGTACAAGCAAGAATTTTCAGCACACCTGCCAGCTATGGAACACTAGGGCAGCCCTAGAGTTCCACTAGAGCTTCCACTGGTTTGGAGACCAATCACAGGACCTACACGGCCTTTGCTCTCCTTTACCAACACTATAAAATGCAAGACTCTCAAGAGAATCAAGTCTCATGTCCACACTTACTTGCAGATAGCGCCAATCGTAAAGCCAGGAGGAAGAGAAGTTGGCAAGTCCTTCAGGGAGTGAACCACAAGGTCAACCCTAAAAATTAGAGGATAGTAATGAGAGAAGAGATGGTGGAGCTCATGTGGGGATCTACCAGAGGCCTTCAGGTCACCTACAGAAAAGTTTGAACCTACTCCAGGAATTAATTGGAGAAGGGAGAAGAATTTCAGGATTCCATAGCTAGGATTACTATACAGTTTTTGTGTTACCCCTAAAAGGCTACTTCACTTTTCTCTGTCTCTCTTTTCCCCTTAGCCAGGGACAAAAGACACTTAAACAATCATTGAATGAGGGGAAGATGCTGGAGATGTTCACACAGAGACACACTGTACCAAAATGCATCAGTATGTGGGTTGGCATCATGAGTCAAACTTTAAGTAACAACAAGCCAAACTACAGGCTACCTGTTTTGTCACACAGGAACCGAGCATAATTGTAAACACTTGAGACTCCAATAGCTGTTTCACCAACTTCACTGAAAATGCAGTATGATGTAACTATGTGGCAGAGATGCAGAAGAATACCTCTGTTTTTAAATATACTTTATAACTAAGGCACCACTGAAACCCTCCTCAGAATATTGAAAAGAAAGAGAGATTAAATAACAACAAAACTCCCCCAACACCTCAAACCCATGAAACTAGCACTAGTCTCTCTCTGCTCAGGCATCAGAAGCAAGGTTTTTTGTAGAGACAAGTTGCACAGAACACAGCACAATTTGCCCATGTCAAATTCTCCTGCACATTTAGCTTGCATAAGTTAATAAATTTTAACATTTATAGGATGACAATAAATCTGTTTTGCAATACATTACCACCAGTAAGAAAAGTATTTTTTAAAAAAATATATTCATAAGTATTAATCATATGAGATCACATCCTCCCTGTGTATTACAGCATGTAATACACAAATAACAGAAGAAAACCTAACTGGGGCAGACCAAGTGACACAACAGCTCCACTTCAAAATACATGGCCTGAGCCCAGGGTAGAGAGAAAAAAAGGGGGGGAAAAATCCTTTTGACTTATCAAAGGATTACTTTTTTTAGCCTGAGAGGACTGAGGGAAAGTAGATCACCTATGCAGCAAGCCAAATATTTCCAAAGAGCACCAAATGCTAAGGAGAAAGACAGAACAGTAAGTCCTTACTCATTTCTTTCAAGCGCATTTTCCAACTCCTTGGTGAAGAGGCTCTTCTCTCCAATCTACACATAAATGGAACAACATAAATCACAAAAGAAGCAACAGCCAATATAACATAAATACAACTAGTTCTTGAATAAAGGAAAATCCTTTACCTTGGAAAGTGCTGTATCCAAGATCTTGTCCCCAGTTGTTGACATGGCCACTGCTCAGAGACAGTACAGGTAAAATGTGAGGCTTGATAAAAGCACTGGGCTTAGGCTGAAAATATCTATGCAAAATGCCACGAGCAGTCACACACTACTGTGTGAACACTGACTCAAGCTCAATACAAGAGCAGCTCGCTTCTAGAAGTACATTGCACTTAAGACAAGTGAAATTGAGACTTTCACTGTCCTCAAAAACAGAAGCAAGGTGAAAGAGGGCAGGTCTGGGGAAGAGCTGACCCAGTGGAAACTGCCATGGTCTGTTTCTGGAGTGCCAGTGAACACATGTAAAGCAGTTCTCTTCAGTGCATGGCTGAGCTCCTGTAATTCCTGCTGAAAAGCCTTGAGCCCCAGACCAGAAAATGCCCCTAATGCTCAGAAGGGCGCAGCCAAAACAATACAAAGTTTGCAAATGTAGCAACACAACACCATACCCATCGCATACTCGGCACTTAAATCATCAAGGACTTATGAAATCCAGCTATCTCCCCTAGAAGAAACAAGCAGCAGCAGTTGCTCAGCCACACAACTGAACTGAATTCAGATGGCACTCTCAGATAAATTTAGACAGACCTCCTCCTCCTGACTCGTGCACACAAAGATAACCCGCTGGCTCCTGCTCCTTGCCATCTACCCCGGGGCAACATCCAAAAAAAAAACTTACCAATCTCAAAGTGGAGGTCAGGGTATAGCTCACGGAGCATCGTAACGACACTATCGGTCTGAATCCGGGCCAGCTACAAGGAAGCAGAAAACAAAGTCCTAAAGAAAGAGCACATTGTCCATACAGTAGCTAAGGAGGCTTTGCCACTCTCCCACAGCCAGGCATGCATGACCAGTGCATTCTCTCTAAATCAAAAGCATTAGAAATAGGTTTCCTCAAGTTAAATCGCTCATAGGTACAAACTCCTTGAACTGTGTGAACTCCTATCATGACCAGAACACTTCACTGAAGAACTTATTTTATTGACTACAGTGCCACTACAACATCTCCCCATGTCCAGCATTACTGTGCTGCAACCACTGATGAAACACTGCAACAAATTTATCAAGTTAGGGAGAGTGATTACAACAGAAACCTACAGATCACAATTCTCATGCTTTCACTTGTTGGTTTCACCTATGTGGAACACAACTGCTAAATGACGACTGCTCATCAGCAGGTGGGCAGAAAACGTATACAAACCCATTATTCTGTTGCTCAGCAATGAGAGAACAAGTCATATTGCACACTGAACTGGGGTTGAGGTTAGGGTTAAAGCCTCCCGCTTTCTCTAAGAGTATGAATTTTACCAATACTGCAAGCTTTGGGAGAAGCCAGTAGGATTTCACTGAGCTGGTGGAAAAATCCACAGTTACTGTCAAATATAAGTTACTTATCCTCTGTAAGAACAAAGACCTAGTTAGAGTTTCTACAAACACACACACACACACAAAATTAACAGCTTACATCATCATGTACAGCAAGAAACAAATCTCAAAGCAGTAAACTGCATGAAGAACATTCCATTGCACAAGAAAACCAGGAACAAGTAAAATACAATCATTAGCTTATCATGTTTCTGCACATGCAAGCGGCAGCTGACTCAAGCAACTACAGATGAGTTTCAGCTTTTCTCCCACCGAAGGGCTCAAGACCCTTTGGTAATTAACGTCGTTCTCAGGACTGCAGTTCCCTACAAGTACAATGAATGTATGTAGCTGCTTCCCTTTGTAAAGTGCCCCAAAAGCTTCAGGTTATTACATGAGATAGTATACATGCACGGCTATCTCCCTTGTCCTGATGTCTACGTAAAATGCCTTTGTGACAGCACGGAATTCTTCCTAGAACGTGCTACCAAAAGGAACGAGATTATCTCAGCGCAAAGGCCTGAGGGTCACTTATCTCTCTTTGCGAGGCTGCTCCTCCCTACTGTAGCCCGCTGGCAACAGATACCTTCTCTATCTCTGGATACGTCCCTTCCCTGGCCTTTGAGCGGGCTGCAAGCATCAGTTATTGGGGTGTTTTCCCTACAAGGGCTGCGCAGACTCTGCAAGTTGGTCTCAGCCCGATCCGGAATAGACCCGCGCTGTCGCCCCCGGCCCCTGCACCACGACAGCGCTAACAGAGCTGACCGTCCCTGGGTTCCGAAGGAAGGGCTTTCCAAACTTCTTCCCGGAATTCCACAGCAGGAGTGGAAACGCGCGAACTCAGGAAGCTGAGGCCGCTCCTCAGCCCCGAGAAGCACTCAGACCCTGCGCCGCCCGCAGGGTGCCCGGGCGGCGGGCACTCCCCGCACCGCAGTCCTGCCGCTGCCTACCTGGCTCCGGCGGGTGCCCACGCGGATCGCTCTGCCATCCACGCCGTTCTCTTCCCGCGGCAGCAACGGGTCGGCGCCCGCTCCGTCGGCCCCCCCGCCAGACTCCGCTCGCCCCAGGCCCACGGCGGCCGCCCCCGGCTCCGCCATGACCTCCGGCCCTCGGCGCCGCGCAGCCCCGCCCCCCCCACGTGACCGGCGGCCGCGCCCCTGCTGCCCTACCACGTGAGCAGCCCCGCCCCCCGCCCACCCAGAGGCCCCGCCCCTCTCCCCGCCCTCCCGGAGCGCCGCCCGGCCGGGCCGGTCAGTGAGGGCCGCGCTGCGGCACTGCCCGACCACGCTGCTTTATTGGGGGCCAAGGGGGGAAGCCAAATACAGGGGGCCGAGGACACAACGGGGGACCCCGTACAACACGAGAGGGCGTGTGGACAGGGCCTGGAGTCAGGTACTGCGCTTGGTGTGGATAAGCAGCTCCCGCTGCAGGCCAGCCTCGATCGTTGTAGCGGTCTTTCCCGAGGGCAAGTCCGTGATCAGAGTGAGCTTATTGAAGACGCCGCGACCAAAGTAGTCAGCAACGACTGAGAAGCCATCATTTGAACACTTGAGCTGCCAGACAGAAAGCAGCAGCATCAGCAAAAGCCTTCAGAGCATCTTGCTTCTAGCCTCCTTCCTTTCTCCCTCTGCACTTAGAAGCCTCTGGTTTAGTGGACAGGGCAGCTCTTTGCTCGGTCCACGCAAGGGCTGGGTGTAGCAGAAGAACCTGCTAGATTTTCTGACACTGGCCATTCCAGCTCCTGTTTCAATGCCACTTCTGAGCCATGCACTGAGGTAATGAGCAACTGAATTAAGCAGGAAGGTGAGTGCCTCAACTGCTCCAGTTCCCACGTGTGTTAACATTTTTCAGCTAATGTCCCATTCACACACTCACCACTTAATTAATCCTTGGGGAACACAAGGTAGATGCCACATTTTGGTGCTGTCCCCATTCCAATTCACACTGTTCTTTTCCCTTTCTCCCTAATTAGTTCTATGCAACTTGTTGACCAGCTGTTACACTGACCATTAGGTCTCGAGGGTCAGGTGAGGACAGATTCTCTCTTTCACCTTCACAGAGCCAACAATGACTCTTCATGCCCTTTACACAATGCAGTCACCCTAGGGTCTAATGCCTCATTATCCAGTTAACATAACCTTGTTTACAAAGTACTTTCAAGCCTTACCTGTCTCTACCAGCCTCCATTTACAGGTCCATAAATGAATCTGAACTGTATTTATTTCAACTTGATAAGATAGACAATGTTAGCCTACCTGATGCTGAAACTGGTCATGCAGATCTCTCTTCTGCTCCTGGGCTCGGATCATGTCCATCACTTTGCGATTTTCTGGCATGCAAGTAGGACATTCTGAATCACTCTCAGAGTAGCTTTCAAAGCAGTGCTGGTGAAAGGAATGACCGCACAGGAAGTGGACTGAAGGAAGCTCTAATGCACTCGTGCAAATGCTACACTTGGTCTTCTGAAAAATCTTGGGACTGAGTGACAACAAGATGGAGAAGTGTGAGAAAGACAAACTACACTTCACCTTACTAAAAGAAAACAGCAGTTCTGTCCTTGAATAGGACTAGACAAGATAGCACACATTCCTGCACCTTGCTTTTAGCTCTTCAATTTCCAGGCGGATCCTCGTAGTTTCTTCTCGGTATTTCTGAATTCTCTGCTCATCCTGCTCTATCTGGCGGCTTTGCTTCTGCAGCTTGTTGACAAGATAATCCTTAATCACAGACAGGGTGGCCGTGGAGTTATGAGCCAGCGTCTGCACAACTGAGAGCAACTGAGATGTTAGTTTAAACACAAGCACAAAAACTGCAGCTATGCTTGTACTGCCAGGGCAGACTGCTTTCCTGGGACAGGCCACTTACAGGCAAAGACAGCTGGCATTCTCATGGAATTGGAAGAGCTCACTTAAAGATTCTCTTTCAATTTGATCTCTTCCAGAAATGGGTGACTGGGAGCACGTCTGAATAACTCAGACCAAAAGGGACAAAGGAAGGATATAGTAGTGGATTGCATTTTAGTTCTCCACCAAGGCTCAACAGGAGTTTCAGCACACCCTGCACTGCCCCACACTGACAGACAGAAATCATGTATGACATCTCACTGATACTGCAGATCTTTCTCCTTAACTAAGGAGCTGTGACTGACATTGTTTTTCCCTATGGAGCAGCTTATTAGTTCAAATGGTAGGCTCCAATTTCATTGATTCTTCTAATGTCTGATCTACAGAAAGCACTACAAACAAGTCTGGGTTGGAGTCTTTTGTGGTTTTTTTCCTGGTTTTTGCTTGGGTTGGGGTTCTATGGCAGGGGAGGCTGAGGGTTCAATGTCATATGTCATTACCAAGCAGCGGAGGCATGAGATTCTTGTTCTCTATGTGTTTCAGCACTGCAGCAATATACTCTTTGCAGTTCTCCTCCTTCCGTGCAAAGTAGCTAAGAGCCTGTTCCCAGAGACAAGCCTCTTGGTCGCCATACAACTCGCATACCTCAATCACCTTCTTGTACTGCTCATTCTGCATGTGGTAGTGCATGATCTGTTGGAAACTATGGGAGAAAGACTCATCAGCTGCAACAATCCATCTTGCCCTTTGAGGTTTTACAGGGACCTCAGCTTTTCACCCAGCCATGCAATCCCCAGACTCACAGAGAAGCCACAGACAAGTCTTTTTTTCACTCTATGTAACTGCCTTGTTTCAACAGTGAGGTATTTCTGCAGAGCAATCATCTACCATGCCCATCTTGAGATGCTAAAGAGGTCACTACCATTAATGGTACAGACATTTATGGCTCAGAAATTGCTGCAGTGGGGGCAAGAGGGGAAGGACAAGACTCTAAAGACAAGAGTAACACTCACAGTTTGCCCTGCTCATAGAGGTAGAGAACACCATCCTTGAAATTGTGCATCTGACATAAGACCAAGGCCTTATCAAAGACTGTTTTGAACCTTCCGCTCTTCAGGAGGGTGAGGGCTTCATTGTGCAACTTCTCCTTGATCTACAAAGAAGGGGGAGAAATCAAGAAGAGGAACCCAGGCACACCCACATAGACACTATTTTGCACTGTGACCTGACAATTTGGAGCTCTTTCATGCAGGTTAGTTTTGGTACTTGCTCTTTAAACCTTTTAAGCAAACAGGACATGATTTTCTTTGCTCAAACAGCCAACATCCTCACAGATCCAGGCAAGCAAGTAAAGATACTTTTGTGGGCAAGCCATCTGCTCAGAGGCTGTATTGTCTGGAATCTGTCCTTAAATGACATACAAACAAAACAAGTTCAGCCATCCTGAAGGGAATAGTCTCCCACATACAAGGCTGCTTTCCCATTTCTGTGCTATTTGTCCAGCACAGCATATGTACTGCCTCATGTTGTCAATGCCCAGCTGGAAAGGGCATTGCAGGAATGCAAATATGACTCACAGACACCAAATCTTTCCCCTCAAAACACAATGCTGGAGAGAGCTCAAACCTGCTCATCTTGTTCATGTGCCCAGTTCTGCAGTCGAAGTTCCAGTAAAGTGTCATAGACACCCTGTGGAGAGTCAGCCTGCACCTCAGTCATGTGCTCCAGGAAAGCTTTCAGTTCTCGGGAATTGTTTGCAAAGACTGGGATGAACTCCTCTGAATTAGCCTGTAAAACAGTCAGAAAAAGACAAGCACCCACATCAGCCACACTAGTGCTTCCTTCCTTCCTTCCATGAGAAATGTTTGTTTCCAGAGTCTCAGACAGGACAGATACAGCACAGTACAGGATGCTGACAACATCAAGGATCAATCCTGAGCAATAACTTTAAGAGGTCCCTTGCCTCTAGGACTACCAGTACATCAGAATGGGGCTTCTCATGGAATCATTGAATAGTTTGGGTGTGAAGGGAACTTTAAAGGTCATCTAGTCCAATACCCCTGCAAAGAGCTGAGACATCTTCCATTTCACCAGGTTGCTCAGGTCCACATCCAACCTGACTTGAGTGTTTCCAGGGATGGGGCCATCTACCAATTCTCTGGGCAACCTGTTTCACCAACCTCTTTATAAAAAGTTCCTTCCTACTGTATAGTCTAAATCTGCTCTCTTTTACTTTAAAATTATTTACCTCTTGTAGCATCACAACAGGCCCTGTAAAAAAGTTTGTCCTCATCTTTCCTATAAATTGAGTACTGAAAGGCTGCAATGAGGTCTCCCTGAAGCCTCTCCTTATCCAGACTGGGCAACCTCAGCTCACTCAGCCTTTCTTCAGAGCAGGTGTGTTCCATCCCTCTGATCATTTTTATAGCCCTCCTCTGGACCCACTCCAAAAGGCCCACGTCTCTTCTGCGCTAAGGGTTCCAGAGCTAGACACAGTATTCCAGGTGGGGTCTCATCTGAGGAGAGTTTTTTAAGTTATAATTCTCATTATACCTAAAACATCAGGATGGCAACACAAGGTATGCAGAAGCACTCACTGCAAAGTTACTACTGGAGAGCAACAACTCTCAGTCAACACAAACCCTACCTTTTTTCCTTCTAGCATCCCAGGGCCTTCATTACCTCCCGAGGGACGGTAATCAGTGCAAAGGATCTTCAGCAATTCAGTGGTCTCCTTAGGGACATGGTGCATCAGGATTTTACCGTATCGCTTCATGTTACTCTCTGCCTGTTCAAAGGGCAGTCTTCCAATGTAGTGCAAAGCCTCTTGGTAGTTCTGTGAAGACAGACAACAAAACAATCACAGGACACTGGCCTCTGCTCTCTACTTTGAGCTTAGGACAGAAAGCATTGAAGACATGCTGTGAGTATGCCACAAATACCATTTGCTCTGAATTATCACCTAGTTCACCATTCCTGCTCATTTTCCTCCTCAGGGAGAAAGACTGAATACAGCCTGGCGGAAACATTTAGATGAATCCCCAACTAAGCACTCTTCTTACAGTGCTCCTCTTAAAGGGCACTGTAAAAAGCCACATCAGAAAGAAAACAAGATCTTCTGATTTCCCCATCTAGTCTAACACACAAGCCAAAAGCAGAAAGGCAACACACCAACAGCAACAAGTATTGTTGCGGCTGTTCTCATCAGCATGCTACCCTCAGCAAAGAGGTCAGTGAAATTATATTCTCACTAAAGAGGAGGCTAGGGACTTGATATTCTCCCCAGTAAGAACACATGTGCAGTTATGTCTCCTCACCTTGATGTCCTCTAACTGGATTTTGAGGTACCATTCATGATGCTCATGCTTCTCTGCCAGGTACACGGCATGGGAGTAGTAGCCAGCTTGGCGAAGTACCTTGATAGCCGTTTCCACATCAAAGTGGACCTCACTCTCACTCGTCTCCAAGAACAAAAGCAAAGAGATGGTCCCTCAGAAAAATTCTAACAGTCCAGAAGCAGTAATCATTAATGTCAGAGGAGGAAAACATGAGCAGGGACAATCATGCAAGAAATTGTACCTCTCATGCAAGAGAAAAATCACCCATGCAGAAAGGAAGGAGTCTAACCACTTCTCATTTGCTTGCCAGTTGCACTGGCAGAAGCAAGCACATTCCAGACCCAGATGGCAAACCAACCAAACTGAGAAAGTAAGCAAGAGCTTGGAAATAAAGGAGCAAAGACCAGGGTATTGAGTGGTAAATTCATTATTCTCTCTCTTAACAGTCATAGAGGAGGGAATTTACAATTTCACCACAACCCCTTTTTAATTATTATGATGACATAAAAATGTAGCATGATTCCATGTCTACCCAATACCTTAATGAACTCTTCCAGTTTGGAGCTGTCTTTGAGTTTGGTATAGCAATTCAGCAGAAGTGTAGTGTGGTCTGCATTGGCCAGGGACTGCAGGTGGAGCATCTGTAGATAAGCAGTAAGGTTGTGGATACGCTGAGCATCCAGGAATTTCCGAATAACATAAGATGGTTCTAGCTTCCCTATAGTTCTGTGAGGGGAAGAGTTACAAGATATTGTATACTCATGAAATCAAAATAAATGGAGAAATTAACAACAGAACACAGAGAAGCCTTAACTTCAGCAGGTACTAACCCTCTTGGGACTACTCAGCTATGCATCAGAAGCAACAACTAGTTATGGTGTAAGACCACCCAACTGCACACACACTGATACAAAGGCCTTGATCGGGACAACCATGATGGCATACAAGGAGTTAATCTTCCCTTAAAGGTGGCAGTTAGAAGACAGATTAGGCTCTGAGCACAACAAACTAGAACAAAAGCTACATTTTCCTTCATTTCAGTCACATAACTCAAAGTCAGCTTTAAATGCTCATGCTCTAAACATAGAGCAGTTTAGTCACAGTTACTGTGACAGTTACAGCAATTCAAGGTAAAAAGACGTGCTGACTCCCACTGGATGTCAGGGACTCCGGAGCATCAGCTCCACAATAATTTACCACTTTGTGGCATTTTAAAAATTGAACATTAAGTTTTCAGTAAACCCCAAAACAAGGCTGCTCTGAGTTCTAGTTTTAAAAAACCCAAGATGTTTTAAAGCTGACATTGAACTGTTTGAGTACTTTCCAAGAAGACTGCCAAACATGGCGAAATTCCATCATCTATCTTGCACAGAGTGATCCCTTCTTTATAATGATGTCACCAGGCGCCACTCCATCCCAGTGGGCCTACATTATTCATGTTAAAATATGATCAAAGGGAAGAACTTTATCCTAAGGTGTACAAAGAGATTTTTCAAGCAACTTCTTCAAAGACTTTTAGTCTCACTGACGTCTTTTTCTGTATGGGTAGAATTTTCACCTCAAGTCATACTTTTTTTTGTTTTGGACTGTTTTAATTCCTGTGCTGAAACAGAAATCAAGGCCTATGATAGTCCTACCTGTACTACAACATCACAGCTCCACAGGACCCCCACCTACCGGATATACTGCTGGATGGCTCCATCATGGTTTCCCTTGTTATAGAGATGATCACCATATTGACGGAAAATCTCTGACAAACCATCGCTGTCCAAGTGGTGGCTCTTGGCCAGGTTAATGGCCATTTCAAATAAGTTCTTTCTGAACAGCATCTGTTAAATATACGGTAAGAGCAGTACGAGAGAAATACCACCCCACAAAACAAGTTCAAACACACGTGGAAAACAAGTTGTTTCTTCATCTTAGTGCATACGTGTGCTTGGGCCTTTACATACCCATTGTCTTACAACACTGGCTATACTGAAAAGCTATTCGGTCACTTGTTATGTAATTCGCTTACCTGAATGGTTCAATTTTTCAGTCTACAGAGCCAGTACAATCTTACAGACATAAGGCAGAGGCTAATAAAAAACCAAATTTACATGCCTCGAGTTTGGTTTGTGTATCTTTCTCCTGCAGTACATGGATCTTCCCATCTCTGGTCAGTACATAGAGAGATCCCCACTCTGCCAAGACATCCACTATGTCATCAAAGACTGAGCTGTATGCAATGAATTTGTTGCACAAGTCATAGATATTCAGGACTTGTTTGTCTGAATTCTGTGCCTCGTTCCCAGCAAATTCTGACCTGGAGAGCAGAATAAAGTTTTAGAAAAGAAGAAGAACATAACTTGAAATCTTGATACCTTTTCAAACTAGGGATGTATAGAAAGCAAGACAAACAGAGTTCATTCAGGCAATTAAACTAAGTGGATCCTGAGGGAAACCACCACGTATTTATACACAAATTCCATCATCCTGTTACACTGAGAAATTCATAGGACTGGAAAAAATCCCCCTCATTCAGCACATTTAACTGTGTTACTCTCATAATGGAAATTAATCAATATATGGGTCGGGATGAACCTCAACAACATCTGACAGAGTGGCAATCTGCCCCCAAGAGCAAAGCTTCACAGGGAAGAAGGAGAAGGAGAAAAAGCATGAAGCTGCATGAGCAAAAAGAACTCATCTGTTTCAAGGAGCCCTACTTTGGGGAAGTCTTTCGGTCCTTGGAGACAATGATGAGGTACCCCCGATACCAGTGAACAATCAGCTTTTGTCCCTCGAAGGCAAAGCAGGGGCCACGTTCGTCTGGTTGGTAAAGGTACACACATTCATTTCCTGCCACAATGAACTGGAGATCCTGGGAGGGGTCACTGAGAGATGAACAGCGCAATCCACAACCATGAGTGTCCAGCTCCAGGTGAGGATAGTCTTTCACTGAAAGCATATAAGACTACAGAGGAAACTCGAGGGTTTGGGGATCACTCTGAACTAGACTCTGAAAGAGAATTTGCAAGTCAGAGTCACATTTTTTCAACTAGCTTCTCACCTGGATGTTCTCTGTGGTCACCACAAATAGATGTGTTGTTTTGCCAGACTGTCGAAAAGCAAGGCCGGTAACGGGGTAACTGCCCTCATGTAGGATCTGGGTCTTACTATGCCGATCTCGAGTGATGTCTCCTTTAGTAAGTACAACACTCCCATCTGCAAAACCTGGTGAAGCAGAGACTAAACTATTACTTATACAACATACCTGAAATTTTATCCAGCATAAGTTAGGGAAGCTCCAGTCAGCAACAACACCATGCTCACTAGCATGGTATAAAGCAATGGAATTGCCACAGGTTCTCATGTCAAGTCAGTCTTTGCCAAATCACTTCCCACTGCTCCAGTTACAGTTCAGAGCTGCCACACAACTGCACATAAGATAGCACTGATCAGCAAGGGTTAACTTGCTTTCCACACACAAACTTCACATGCAGATTAATTTTGTTTGTCTGTTTTTGTTTTACAAATGGCCTTCCCATACTGCAATTATAACTATAATTTCAAGTCCCTTGCTTATTCAAAACATACTACACACTGTAAAAAAGACCAGAGGGAGATTTTTCGAGAGTAAAACACACAGTTTTCATAGCTTGACAACAGCCCCAGTCTTGTAAGTTGTTCCAGGGTTGAAAGCCACTGTACACACAGGGAAAAGCTTTTTTGATTTCAGTGTAGGGACCAAGTCAGCTGAGAGCACTTGTAATCTCACAATATTACTGCTCTTATTCTGTCAGAAGAGTCAAGCGAGAAACATTACCAAGGAACGGTCAAATCCAAAAAGGAAAATTTGCTTTTTTTCTTTGAAAAAAGGTTTGTAGAACAAGCTTGAAAAAGTATCTCTGTAACATTAGGTATCACAAAACTTGCATTTTTTTCCTGTACCAACAGAAGCTAAATTTAGTACGAAGTTCAATAAATAAGTAGCCTTACCAACTGGCAGGGAAAAGAGGACATCAACTAAAAATACATGCTTCTAAGTATCAAAGTTATTAGTTTAAAATATACACTTAGGCTAAATTTACACATTTAGTTCTTGAGCTCTAGGGTAGCACAAGACACACAGTATCTCTGTAAGGATAATGTAACAATGGAGTGAGAAAAAAGATCAACAGGATCTTCTATGGTGGTTTTTGTATTATCTATTCATGTTCCTTACCTCTCAGTAAGGACTGTAATATTTTTCCTAAGCTATTATAGTTCAGCTTTACTTACCGATAGCCATGAAATTAAGATTCTCGTGGACAGTCAGGCAGGATACAACCGTGGGCTTGTTACCTGGTATTGCTGGAAAAATTCGTGTGCAAAGAGGATTACCACCATCTCGTTTCTCCAGGTTCCAGACTTTCACCTACAAACAACGATGATCTGGCATAAGCAAAACATGGGGTATTAGTAGGCCATGACCTGGCATCAAAATGTTATAGAACCCAGAATGAAGAAGCTACTTAGGGTAAGAAAGGGCAACTGAGATGATCACAATAGTCTTTAAGAAAGAACCGTATTACAAATGTGTTTTCCTCTCTTCGTCATTTAACTTACCAAAGGATTTATACCCTCTTCATCCTCGCCAATAGATACCAGGATACTGTGCTGCTTCAGCTGGTACAGATGTGTCACCCTTAGCTTGTAAGCTTGGAAACTGCTGAGTTGAAGGGAACGAGGCAAAAACCAAATCTGACCTTCCATATTTAGATCACAGTTAAGGCACGTAAGGGGACCAAAAAAAAAAAAAAAAGAAAGCCCCACACCTCCAATCGTACAAGAATCTGAAGAATCTGCATGACTTTTGCGGACTCCTGGTAGAGTTACAGCAAATACTTCTGCAGAGCAACCCCGGAGCACCAACACATCCAGCGGCACTAGCACCCTCCGGCCCGCGCTAGACAGCGCCCAGGACTCGCCTGCCACGCAGCCTCGGCTCGACCGAGAGCCGCGCAGGCCACAGCACCCGGCCCCGCACAGGATATCTCCGAACACGAGGCTTCCCCGGCCCGAGTCGCAGACCGCGATGCCCGGGGGCAGCGCGAAAGGCTTCGCAGCGGCTCCATCCGGCCCCGAGGGCTCCCTCACCGTCTCTCTGTCAAAAAAGACGAACCGGCGCCACTGCAGGTAGGCAGCCATGTTGGGGCCGGCCCCGCGTGCCCGCCCCTCACGTGACCTGAGTCTCCGCCCCTCGGGCGGCGCACGCGCGGACGGGGTAGCTGCCGTGCCAAGACATTTAAATTTGAATTTTGAACATACATACTGGAAAAAAATCCCAGAGCCTGCTAGGAATTTAAAACTCAGAACGGTCACAGCAACCTTAAATGAGTCATTTTACAGTAATATTTTCGCATTATAGTATAGAATATATAATCTTTTTAATTTGCCTCTCTCCAACGGGAAATAAATAATAGTATATACAAAATAATTGTATATACAATTAATAGTATATACAAAAAGGCTTGACCTTTAAATGTGGACAAGAACTAATGAAATCTGGATATTTGCTGTGAGCTTAGCAATAGGATTAATTATCTGTGTTGTCACAGATTAATCTTCTTGGCTTAACAAAAGCAATACAGTAAATATATTAAAAATAAAGCTATACCTTTGAATACATGTGTAAGTTAGTTTCAATGTAACCCCAGCAAATTAGAACACATTCGGCATTTATGTACTTACGCAGTATTTCATCTCGTCGCAACTGTACATTTTTACTGCTCCAGGGCCCCAGGCGCTGCTCAAAGTGGGACCTTGTTTGCAATCTGAAGTACTTAGTTACTGTTATGGTAAATTCCGTATTAATCTTTTGTTAAATTGTTTAACTTAAGCTATCAATTAAGTGCTGTTAGGTTTGCTGGTAAACCTTTATGCATAAACCACTGGTGAAGTCCAGGGCCTAGCTGAGCAGGGGGGCTGACTCTGAACCCTGTGACTCCACTTATCCATTCCTATCCTTACCTCTTTTGGCCCTTCTCCCCCAGCATCCATGTTGATAATTTTGGGTTGATTTTGGTTTTAGATTGGGTGTAGCCTGCTTTTGCCCTGTGTGCTTTAACCATCTAGGCCACAGCAGAGCGAACCTCGCGCCACTGAACTTTGCCCTGCTTTCACTATTACATTAAACCTGCTTTTGCCAACTCCTTTGCTGGTGATTTTTAAAGCATCTTTAAAAGACTCTTTCCAACCACCAGAACCACAGCAAACACAATGTCTTCTACCTTGCTGGCTGTTTGTGCTGCAGAAGTCAGGATGACTCGATGACATCAAGACACGAGACACAGCCCCAGCAGGATCTGCAGTGCTCCTCTGGCCCCTTGCAGAAATTCTCATTGTCAAAGAAGCAGCTAACTTGGCACTGCAACCAGATGCCATGCAGAGTCTTCTAGTCTCGAGGAGACAAGATCGTGGAGCATTCAGCCCTGGAAAAAACAGCTGCCATGTGGAGGGTCTGTGCAGAAAAAGGATGTCCTCTCATGGACATAGCTCATTTTATAGTGGGCCTCCCTTTCTTGAGGCTTCTCTCCAAAGGTTGTTCCATCCAATGCAGACCATGAGTCTCTATAAGGACACCAGCATGTTTTTCACTCAGCAGAGTTAAATTAAAAAAAACAGAACAAATGGGAGTTCCAGGGAGCTTTTATTGAGTTTAATTAACAAAATCAGGATTTTTCCATTCATCTTTTTTGCACTCACAACTCATGAAGCTCTTCACAAGTCAGTGCTGCAACACATACAAAGCCAGAGAAAACACATTCTCAACAAAATCTGAGCTCCACTGGAGAGTTTGCCAATTGCCAATTTAACAGAAAGCCAATTTTCCCCTCCCTCCCTTGACTGTTTTGAAGGACTAGACCATATTTGTTTGCTGGTTTACAGTTAGAATAGCAACCCCTTGTCCAGGGTCTACTGGATTATGACACTCCACTTGAATTGCAAATATTTTTTTTCTTGAAATAAAAGTTCCAGTTTCTTTCAATAAGGGGAACAGTGACTATTTTCTTCTCCTGACACCCCTTCCCCAAAATTACTGGTTAAAATACAGCAAGGCTGTATCTTAATAAAGACATCCCTACTCCCCTCCCCCCACCCCCCCCTCCACTCCTCCCTAACTTGTCTACAGCAGAATTTAACAATGCTTCCACGCAGAGGCATTTTAGCAATGCAGTGATGAACTGAGCAAAGCCTACAGGATAATCTGCCAAAGCCTTCTTGTGAAGTTCAGATGCATGCTCTTTGGCCCAGAGACCTGGTTGATTACAAAGATAAACTGTGATTTGAAAAAGATGGACCAGAAGTTCACAGCAAGCAGAAAACTCCCTGCAGGGACTACAGTTGCCCAACCTCTACCATGGTAGCTGTACTGCTGGAGTCTCTGGGAACAAAATTCACTTTGTTCTCAGGAAGTAATGACCAGCAGCCCCAGCAGCATTATGAAGGTTCAGCATCAGGGCAAGAACCACCACAACAGCAGCTCAAGAGATGTGGCATAACAGCTCTGTAACCTCTCTTACAGAAACTGAGGCAAGACAGCTATCTGCTCAGGTTTGTGTCCTATCAGTCATTTGTAAAGAAAAAAGTGTTTGAAGCATTTTTAAATCCTTGGAGCAGACACCCTCCCCCCCATCCCAAATAAAAATAAACAGAAGATCAGAATGAGATGATTTGATACCACCATATAACACAACATGAATTCATGTTGAGCTTCCCTGTTCTTACCCACAAAAACAGTCACAGAGGGCAAGGAAAGATGCTCCCATCTCATTCTGGAAATTGAAACATGTATTTGAGACCAACCCACCCCCCTCCCTTTGGGAAAAGGCCTCCAGCAGCTACAGTGCCCACCTGACAGTGGACACCCAGAGACTGGCCTATAGGTTCTCTCAAGTGGCTGAAGATTTCTTCTTCACAGCCACCTCATCCAGTTGTGAAACTCCATTTCAGAGACTCAGAGTGACACTTTCAGACTTCCAACAAAAAAGGAATGCAGAACACATCAGGTCCTCATTCTCATCAACTTTGTCAGAGGAAGTATTTGACCTAGGGCTCATCACTGAAGGTTCTGACTAATCCATCTGTAAAGGCCGATAACCAGCAAAAACTGGAGCTCACAAGAAATCTCAGGAAGCCAAGATTTATACACACTCCTTACTCTTTGGTAGGGAACAAAACAACCAAGAAAACCCCAAACCAAAATAACCGAAAACAAACAAAAGCCCCAAACAAACAAACAAAAAGGGGAAGAAAAAACAACAAAAAAACCCCCAACAAAAAACAAAAAACCAAAAAAAACCACAAACAAACAAAAAACCCCACAAAAACAAAACCCCCCCCACACAAAATAAAAAACAAAACAAACAAACAAAAAAAATCAAAACTAGGATTATCCTAGTCTTCTGGAGCATCTTTCCATTTGCAAGATCGCATCTGTTTGAGATAGCCTACTAGCACCAAAAATAGGCTGCTTCTTCCTTGACAAGAAGCCACCTAAAAATGGTGCCCCCGATAGTTTAGGTAAGTGCCATTCCTCAATGAGAGGCCAATTTTAAAGTAATACTTTCAAAAATTCTGTGCTTCAAGAGGGACCATCAATGCATGGCACCAGGCTAACCTACCACAAATCCATGCAGAGCACACACACCCGACTTGACATCGCTATCCTGTTCTTGTTACATGTGCATGCCCTGGTGAGATACAAAATTTATTTACATTTTCATGTCTTTGTTGCATTAAAATGATCCCTCTTCTGTCTGGAAAATCATAAGCTGGCTGCAGTACAGGAGCAAGATTTTACTTTTGGTCAAAGTTACCACCCAGAAGTTCCCACCCCCCCCACCCCCAAAAAGCACCCCAAAACTGTTTACATTTAGTACCTGCCAGTCAGATATAAGCTATGTGGCTCACAGAGACCAAGCTCTTGAGTTTGTATTCTAGTGCAGCATTTGCTACAGTTATGGAGTCACTGCTGACAAAAAGAAGAAAAACATCCCGAACACAAAAACCTTTCAATCTTGTAAAGTTGTTGTCAGGAGGCACCTGGCTTCTATTTATGATCATCAGGGAAAGGAATGGCTAGTCCACCTTGCGATTTCAAACTATTTTACTCCAATTCAAAAAAAGGGTCAAAATGGGGAGAAATTAAGACAATTAAATCCTGCCTCAGAGGTAAGCAAGCATGGTGTGAGTGCAGCATCTGTATATGCAATAAATGACTGAGCAAAAGGGATTGCATTCACCCAGGTGCCTCCTGACAGTGGTGGTTAACAGGCTAAAAGGGATTTAAAAAAGAGTAATTTTTTTGATTTGTCTCACTCCTTTTGCCTGTAGATCAGGCCAAACATCAAGCATGTTGGGAGGGGCACAATTTAAAGCAACACTACTTGACCAGAAAGCACTTTTCAGCAATATACAATGTAAAATGACAGACAGCAACTCATGGCAAACAAGAGTAGTTGGCAAGCAGCTTCCTGCAGCTTCTGACATTAACAGGGGTTTGCCCTTACCTGCTCACAGTTCTGCACAGAGGCCACTCTGGGCAGAAAACGCAGCACTGCAGGAAGTGAATCAATTCCACAAAGCTCCAGAACTGTCAGTTTATGCACGCAAATTGGTTTTTTTATGGTCTCTCAAACCCAAATCCACACCTTACGCGTATACTGCTCAGCGACACCCACTGGATTTCCCTCACACCATGGTGGAACACAGGTCATGGACTCCTTCAGAGCTTGTCAAGTTCCTGAAGTTTCTAAAGGGGAAAATCAAAGAGCATCTCCCAAAAGGCTGAGCTATGGATTTGGAAGTCTTGGAGCCCCACAAGTGATCTCTTCCATACGAGCAGTACAGGACTGTTGCTAGCACCAGAGTAAATCCATCCTGACAAGGGACACTTGTGGTGGCCTGCAGTTCACAGAGGTCAGGGAACATCTCATTGTTTAGTGTTGCAGAAAACTGAGCCCCTCTCATCTTTAGCTGCTCCCATAATCAGTCTAATCCCTTTAACCTCAGCAACCTTCATCATAAAAGAAAAAGTTATATATGAACCCAAACAGAAAAAAAAATCATATTTACAAAGTTTGTACAATATACACATCTGATTTTCTATGGGACACACTGCACCAGAAGAAAGAGGGCCATGGCTCTGAAACAAGTCTACCTATCAAGTGCTGTAACTACTAATGAAGACTCATGGAAACCAGTCTTTAGTGTTCTGCTAGAGCACAGGGCTTTTCTTATGGCTCCTGCAAAGGATCACAGGCTACTCTTTCCTTCTGGAGCTATGATGCTGCACCTAATCAGCCCAGATTTTAGGTTGGTTTCATTTTAAATACAGATATTTACAGTTTGGGTGAACTGCAGATGCATATCAACTCCTCCAATTAAAAAAAAAATTAAAAAAAAATTTAAAAAGTTGGAAAACAAAAAAAAAAAAGGAGTATTACCAGTAACCAATACATTTCACCTCCCAGCCCTGGGCTTGACTACATGGGAAGGAGGAGAAGGGGAAGAGAGGGGAACTTTGACCTCTGAAACCAAAAACAGATGTCGATTCCTTGGGCTGTGTTGGAAAGGTGATATTCTGAATGGTCTCATAGCATAAGGCACTTTGCACGAATAAGTAAGAAGCTCTTTAGCTTAAAAAATAGATGAGTAACCAGGGAGAAGTTGAAATGCACTCAGTCAATGGTTAAAGAATTTGAAATAGCAGACAAGCTCGTGTTCATCAAGATTCTTCTCTTTTCAGGGTTTCTCTTCTTCCCTTGCTGACCCTCCCACCCAAAGAAAACAAAATTTAAAACCAGCAGTTAGTGCAACTAATGTTCAATCAGCACACAGTGCAAACAAGTGGAAAAACAAAAAGACATTCCTCCTTTTATCTTCTTTCTTCCTTGCTGCCAAATTTAAAGAGAAAAAAAGGCCGAGCTCTTTTAGTCTTCATAGTTCCGAAATGAAAAGATGAAGAAAAACCCACAAAGAGAAGGGTATCCCCAAAGAAACGATGTGTCACAGATCTGGATCATAGGGCTTCACCTTCTGGCATGCGTAATCAAAGCCTAAAAAAAAAAAAATGAAACAAAACAACAACAAAACCACCAAAATCAAACCAAACAAACAAAACAACCCCCCCAAAACCAAACAAATAAACAAAAAAAAAAAAAACAAACAACCAACCAAAGAAACCCCACAAACAAACAAAACCAGAAAAAAAGGCAGAAAAAAACCCCAATAAAACAAACAACCACAACACCCTCAGTTAAATCGGTTCTATACAAAACCAGAACACAAAGTGATGAATCACATACAGTAACTATGCAACAGCTCTCAAAAGGCAAAGGGCATATTGAACAGCTCAATACCAATTTCAGCTTTGTAGAAAGAGGTGCTGCTAAAGCCCTTCTGTACCTATGGAACATGACTACCTCCTGGTTTCTTGTATTTTAGGAAGCAGCAAACTGCTCCTGGGCAAGGTCCCAGCATTGCCCTTAGGAAGCTAAGTTCCACATTCATTAACTGCTACCATCCAAGAGCCTGTTCCACATTCATTACCTGTTTTGTATTCTATTTATTTATAGACATGGAGAAGGTTCAATCATCAAAGCAGAAGCTTTCAAGTCAGCTTGGTATGACTATCTAGGGCTATCCTTGGATGACTTCAAAGAAGGAACCATAGGTTCATTTTAACGCTATCAAGCAGTCTGCTTCTATAGCCACTTTTTTATCTTTGGTCATCTGAAAAGAATTTCAGCAGCTTCACTGGTATTGTCTTTCTAATTCCTGACCTCTGAGAAGAGTACACATAAGAATGATTTTCAGCCTAAACTGTATGGTGATGGATCTTGCATGACATCTTAACTCAGGTCAGATCATCATCCTGCAGCCAATTTAACTTGACTGCAGTCCAGGGCAAGTCATCTTCCTATGAAAGGACTTAACTCAGCAGCTTTTCCTGAGACAATGATCAGAGAGGGAGCACTTAGATGAGTCTCCAACAGTGAAACGTCATTTTCTGTTGAAACTACGTAGACGACCTCAAGTGGTAACAAAGATGAATTACAGTTCACTCCCTACTTGGTTCACTTCCAAGAATTCTATGAACCAAAGGATACAAAAGAGGCAGCACCTTTTGCTTGAACCTGGTCCTTCTGGCTGGTGAGGTGCTTACTCTTTGGTTGATGCTCTGTTCTCAACGCTATCCATTTTATCTCCTCACCTTTTTGAGGACTACTTTCCTCTCTGCCCCTCACCAATTTCTCATTTCAGCTTAGCAATACAGAAAGACCTCATTAGGCTACTAGTACTCCATCAACCATTTGCCACTCCCCCTTTTCCCCATTTTTGATCTCCTTAGCACATGGTTAGCATTTCAATCAAAACAACTAAAAAAATACTCATCCCTCCCCTCCCACCTTCAGCACATCCATGGAATTTCTTGCACTGACATTCTATTTCAAACCTGGGTTTTCACATTCAGAGCTTTTTCATCACATCAGTTTCCCTCTTCCCCTGAGGTAACACCAACACATCAACAACATTCCTTCATTCAACACATCACTATTCATCAAGGCACTTACATACCTGCATGTTTACTGTTTCTCATCTTCTACAGGTTCACTGTGGTATTCTGCCACATACAAGCTCTTGTCGATGTTGCTTGGTATGGGTTTAATTTCAGTTCCCAACTGCTCCTCAATACTTTTCAGGTTGAATCGATCATCATAGGTGATTAAGTTGATGGCCAGGCCAAGATGACCAAAGCGACCTTGACAAAAAAACAAAAACACACACCTAAACTGAACTGAGTTAACATGGGGTTGTCAGAAAAAAAGTCTGCAGACGGTGAAGTTAGTATCATTCTGTGATGTTAAAAACAATCCAGCCACACCTTTCACATCAGTTTTTGGTAACGAGTTCTGTAGTGCTGTAGGAGTAAAACTCAGGAGGTTCAAAATGCTCTGACCAAAGCTCCAGGATAATCACCATCAAAAAGTCTTCCAGAGCTCTTGAACAAGCCTGAACTATAAAGTTCAACTACACTGAGTTCCTTTGTTTTTTGCCTTTCTTCAGGGCCTATTCTGCTGATTCCCAGACAGTAGAAACATATCTCAAAACACACGCAGAAGAAAGACACATACATCTCTAGGCTTGAGACATTCTGAAGCTGAGATTTTAGTAGAGAATTTTCCCAAACTGCAAACAGAGGCAATAGTAAGTCTCCTGAGATAAAAGCAAGATATGCCTCTTTTTTTTCCCCCATTAGATTGTTCAGGCCAGTTTCAAGAGAACAGCCCTTTATTCAGATAATATCCTCAGCAAGGATAGCCATCTGAAATGATACCCAAAAATAAATTTGTCAGAAAAATCAAAGCTACCTAAGGTAATTCTCAAATATAGTAATAAAAAACCAAAAGCCAATTCAAGGCTAAAAAGCATCACAGTCATCAGCAAAGTTGTACCTAAAACAGGTTTTTCCTCTCACCTGATCTGCCAATGCGATGAAGATAAGTTTCTGCCAGCTTTGGGAAATCAAAATTTATCACCACATTCACAGCCTGGATATCAATACCTCGGGTAAACAGATCTGAAAGACAATCCAGATCACAAAGAAAGTTAATTTCAATGAGCTCAAACGCTGAGAGTATTTAGGGTGTAAAGATTAACAGTGATTAACATTGCTTTGCACTAGTTTCCAAATATAAGCTTTCCTTGTATTAAAGGAGTTTACATACAATCCTGTTACAGCTTCCTCTTGCTCTGTATACCTTGTAAACATGAATAACCTAAGAAGAAAAACCAAAACCACCAGATCTGCACATCTACACAGAAAAAATAACCACAAAGCTATTTTTTTCCACATTACACTATTTCAGAGCAGTTCTTCTCAAGCATCTCTTCACACAGAATTGTGCACTGCCAGTGTCACAACAGACTTGTGACCTGAACTACATTCCATCACCTCAACTACTTCTATTCTGCTTCCAGCAATTTTTAAGATGGCCCAGACATATGTAGTGATAGCAGACACTGCCAGGTATTGCCATAAGCAGGCCATATAACAAAGAACTCAGATCATACACAGGCCAGTCAAAACTACAGAAGAATTTAGAAAAAGTGAGCTATAAACACTTAAAAGAATCAGCAAAACTTCACATGACCATAGTCACAGCTGTACTGATATATCATACAGTTTATGACCCAGCAATTCAGGGAACCCTCACACATGAAAATAAAAAGAAAATTTTACTGCAATAGTGTTATTTGTTGGCAAGCTGCACCTTCACAAAAGACAAAATTCCTCATGCCTAAAGGAGTGCTGCGCCCTGCTAACATGTAGGCTTGACAAAGAGACATCTTACTAAAACATCTTGTTTTGGATCAGCTAACTGATTGTAGATCAGCTAACTATTGTAGATCAGCTAACCGATCTACAATACTGGGATAATGCACTTTCTATCATAAACTTTAGAAACAGGAAAATGTTTAGGAACTCTCACCAGTGCAAACGAGATTGCGGCACAAGCCATTTCGGAAATCATGGAATACACGATTGCGGTGCTCCTGGAAATACATACATTATAAACAAAGAGAAAC